AAGGATCTGGAAGAGAGTTCCACAGTGAGAAGTGCAAGATAAGAAACTGTCAGCAGAGAATCTAGGGTTACATTTAGCTATTTCAACTTTAAAATGATGAGATCTTGCCCCCAATCCAGTAATGTGCTTAAATTTATAAAGTCTGTGTACCATAGAGGAAACTTTATCTGAGCAATTGCCATGAAAGTATTTATAGAAAAGGCACACAAAAGCTACGTTACAATGATGGTAAAGTGACTGAAGATGATATGCCAGGTCAGGACCAATAATATTGCATATTCTTCTCTGTATTTTATCAATAAACCAGATGTGGCAGCAATATTCAAATCAGGAATGAATGATAGACTTATAAATATGTAAGATAAATTCTGGAGAGTAAAATTGTCTCGCACAACACAATGAACCAAATTTCCTAGCAGCAGCCCTAGTAACTAATTCAATATAATCTTTCCACTTTATGTCAGTGGAAAACATTAGTCCAAGAAGCAGTGACATGCAGAGGTTTAGTGATGCCTAGGGCTAAATCCTTGATTGTATGCCCCCACCCCCAAGACTCAAGTAGTGGGGAGCCATAGGGCCTAGTACTGAGAAATGTGAGAAAAGAAGACATTTTAAATATGTAAAAACAGATGAAACATTAAATAAACACTTTATTTAAATTAGATATAAACTAAATTTTTATTTCACTCTTTTATTGTATACCCTCCTGATATAGATGCCCTTCTGTACACTGCTTCCAAGAAGGTATCGTCATGAGTCACTCTCATGGAGGTTAGCCTCAGCCATGCTGATGGAAGGCAAAAAGGGTTCCCTCGGGTGATTAAAAAATAATAATCTAACGATTCAGATCCACATTTAAGCCCTTTTGAATATATATATCTGTATAGATCATTGCATTAAGAGTCAGCCAATAATTAGCAATGATTCGTTATCTGTAGCTGGAATTCTTGTAAATATATGGATTACATGATATGGAGATCCATTTAATGTTTTTAGTGAAATGAGAGTATCAGCTTGAAAGTGAGTTATTTTTAGAAATATCAAAAATTGTTGGTTTTCAGAGTCTATTAACAATTGTTTATTATGCAATTGTGTAATGATTTATCAGAAAGAGAAAACAAATCAATTATAACAGCAATTATAGGTCATAAAGAATCATGGCTTCCAAGTATTGCAAGTTGTACTCTTCGATATATACAGTACACCAAATGAATCAGACTTCTCACCATTTTGTCTTTGAACTTTTTTTTAATTGATTTCACCCCAAGCAAGTCTGTAAAGCCACTGAGACACAAAGGGTTACTGGATGTGGAAGAGTTAGAAACAGAAACATTGCTAAAGAGCAAGAACAAAAGAAGAGTAATTAGGACAGCAGATAACGATCGACATTGCATTTAAATTTTTACAGATTAAATTTGGCTGTAAAGCATGGAGCTGGAAATGAGTTCCACAAGTGAGAAGTGCAACAAAAAAATTGTTAGCATAGAATTTATGGCATATATCTCACCAGCACAACTCTAAATTGATGGGATCTCATGGCCAGCCTAGTGCTGTGTTTAAATTCAAAGAGTCTAGGCAACATAAGAAAGAGCGATATTTATTTGTACAATGGTATAAAACATGGCACAAGACCAAAATGGGGATTGGGGAAAAGGATGGTCTTCTACTGTCTTAACTTTAAACTTAGCTAGCCACAAACACTGACCCAATCATAAAAACAATATTCCTTACACCAAAACAACACATTCATACGTACCTTTCTTACTACATCCACCATAATACCATAACAAAGAGCTCATCCAAACAATTACCATGAAAGTATTTATAGAAAAGCTAAAGGGAGGCAACCTTATGGCAGTGGGAAAGAAACTGAAGCCAAGATGCCAGAACAGGGCAAATAACATTGCTGATTTGTCTTTGGATTTTATCAAGGAGCTCTAGGTAAAAAGGAGGAGAACCAGACCAAATATTCTAAGCATTAATTCCTCAGTATCGATTCCACAAATGTTAATCAGTCTTTCTGATAAAATGGATGATGATTCATTAAATAATATGTCTACTAACACTTTGCTATAATTTGACTTTGGTAACATTTTTGAATAACATTCTAAATAAAGCTTATGCTCCAAGTGAACATATAGTATATAAGTATGGTGAATCAATTTATGAAACCTTTTGAAACCACTTATGCAGGACACTACAAAGGTTTATGGCTCACAGCTACATCATGTTAAAACACTAGTTCCCATACAATCAGCAAAGTTAAGCAATATTGAACCTAACTGAACCTTGATGGGTGGCTATTAAGAAATACCAGATGCTGTAAGCTTGGATGTATGGATGGTGTAATGGATAATGGCTCAAAATTGTTAATCAGAGATCCAAGTTCAGATTCCTGTTGGGTTCATTTTATTCCTTTACATGTAAACACCCTTGTGAAAGGTATGAACCCACCTCTTCTACCCCCAGCTATGGGTTAATTAGTAAGATTTATATCACTAAACTATTATTAATTAAAAAAAACTCTTACAATATAAAATTATTTTTGTCTTTAAATAACCTGCAATGGTTTTGGTAAGCTATTTGCTGCTTTCCTCTTGCTTTCAATATACTTTGTGAGTGTTCAATTTCCCAAACCCTCTTTTCTCATTATGTTCCTGAGAGATTTAATCTGTCTCTTTTGGATTTGAACCATAAGTTTCCTTTTTGTTTCCTTTTTCTTGAAAACTTTGTCATTGCTCACATTTTCAGTCCATGTTATTCTCAGCATCCTTCTGTAGAACAAAATTTCTGTTGCCTCAAATCTTTTCTTCAACTGTGAGGAAGTTGTCCAGCATTCACTGCTATATTTAGGAGGATTGATATTGCATAACAGTTCAGTTTTCCTTTCTATGTTTCCAATTAAATTTTCCTGTTTCTTAAGACATTGCTTAGCTTTTGGAAGGCATCTTTCACTATCCCAATGATTCTTCAGATTCCTGGGTCATATTTTCTGACCTCTATAAAATCATTTAAAAACTAAGGGATAATATTGAATACAATGATAGTTTATGTACAGATAAAAGTGTCACTTGTGTTTGCAAATAAGTCCTAAACTTGTTATTCTGAGACGATTCCTTGTGTATCACTAGCTTCAATCTGACTGTTAGTAAGAGAAACAGGCCACAACACAAGCTACTAATTGGAGATGTAAAAATCAAGCTAGTACAGAAATTTATATATGTTGGAAGTGTTTTAACAGATGATAGAGAATGGGACACTGAAATTTGAAGGTACACTGTAGTAGTGGAAGATGCCTTAATAAAACTAAACAAAATATTAAGAAACAGGAAAATTTGATTAGAAACAAAGGAAATAGTGCTTAAATGATGCATAATATTAGTCATCCTATATAACAGGAAATTCGTGAAGGAATTACTCAGCATTCACTGTCAAATAAGAGAATTGATATTACATAGTCGTTCTACACTCTTTTCTTTGTTTCTATGAAAATCTTCCTGGGTCTTAATACTTTGTTTAGCTTTTGAAAATACTTAATATTTCTGTCTATATATCAGAGATGAGGTATTGTAATTATTTACATTATTTACATTGCTTGGACTGTTGTCCACAACTTTATTGCCATATTCACAATGTTTCGGCAAAAACAAAATCTGCCATTTTTACAAAAATCAACCTTAACTGTCTTGCCTCTCTAAGATGAGGTATTATGATTACTTACATTATTTATATTATTCAGACTGTCATCCACATCTTCATTGCCATATTCACAACGTTTCGGTCCTTGTACACTCCGGCCTTCTTCAGGTGATTGGAATTTCGAACTGAATCTTCTTGTACTTCATGTTATTAAAAATATAGTCTACCTAAGACAATGGTGCCTTAGTCCACTTCAATGTACTCCTTTTAGGACATCACACTCTTATCCCAGTATCTCATCCATATTTTAAAACATTGTACAAAGTCCTTATTTGTAATGGTAATGGTAATATTAGCCATTTCCATACAAGGAAACATTTGGCATTTATTGATCAAGCAGCCAGTACTACTTTTAGTTGAAATTCATAAAATATTTTTCTTAAAACAACTTTTCAGGAAAACATGTTTCTCAAGTCCAGTAGCTGTTATCGCTCTTTGCAGTACTGCTGGGGTGTCTCCTTCCTAACATATTATTTGAAGTAGTGTGCCATGTCAACATCTAGATTATGTCATTATTAGGGATCACCATCAGCTGCCTTGTTACATTTTTTTCATCTTGTTCACATCATTTCAATAGCAATTTTAACTTTGGGAAAAACCAGAAGTTATATGGATTCAAGACTTGTAGTTTTTGGGGTTTATTTTTGAGTTTTGATCATAAACAGACCTCATGTCTTGCCAAAAAATGTCTGCTTGAAACAGAAAGAATCTACTTATTTTGTCACTGTGAATGTGACAATACAGTTTACAATCTTATTTCGTGATTTCTCAATGTTGACTGAGTAAATCCATAAGAGAATGTCAGTTCATGCATGTGCAGTTATGTCCCTTCTAATTGGTAACCAGTTTGCATCCAAGGTGTACCACCAGTTATCAAGATATTTAAAACAGCAGTACTCAGTTCAAGACATCCCATATATATATGTGTAAAGACATGTATGTTCCTTACATTTTGTATAGAAATAAAGTGTAATGGATGTTTGGTTGTATGACTGTGGGTGCCAAGTTTGAAAGTTATGGAAGCCAAGTCTGTTAGTGCTGAAAAGAAATGTCTGGTCACCTGATTTTAGTTCTTTTACAATGAAAATATTTCAGTGGGCATACAAAATGAAAAAAAAAAGGAAGGAAGGAAGCCTTTTGGAAGTGAAAGAAATCAGTGCCCTTCCCCTCCCCACTGCTATCCTGTTCCAGGCTTTGCACTCTGCCCATCATCGTTCAACTACTCTTCATTTTGATTGATGCACAGATGTGTGGCTTGCAAGAATTAGGAAGTTTTTTGGTGTCTCATTTTTGTTTTTGGGCTAAAAATGTTGTGAAGGGAGAGAATAAAATGGAAAAGAAAGAAGAGAAAAAGAAAAAATGATTAACTTTGTAATATGGGTAATATTTAGAAAGAAAGAAAGTTTGAGAGAATGAAAGAAAGCAGGAGAGAAAGAATGAGAGAAAAGTGTAGAGAAGACGAGAAGAAAATGGAAAAGAAAGAAGTTTAAAGAAATGAAAAATTGACTAATTTTATAATAAAGGGGAATATTGAGAAAGAAAGAAAAGAGAGGAAGAAATTAAAAAAAGAGAAAGACTGAAAGAAAGAAAAAAGAGAAAGAAAGATTAAAATAAAGAAGATTGAAAGAAAAGAGAGAATAAAAGATTTAAAGAAAGAAAAAAAGAGAGAAAAAAGAGAATAAAAGACTGAAAAAAGAATAATATAAATTTAAATTTAAAGAAAAAAGAGAGAAAGCAAAGAAAGAATAAATGATTGAGAGAAAGAATAAAAGATTTAAAGAAAAAAAAGAGAGAAAGAAAAGAGAGATTAAAAGGTTGAAAGTAAGAATAGAAATAATGAAAGAAAGAAACAAAAAAAGCAGAAAAAAGGGTAAAGGAAAGAAAGTAACAGTTTTGTTGCTTTTGTTTAATCAGATAAGTTCATTACTGTAGACTAGTTCATGCAAATGCTCACTCACACATTCTTTTCATCATCAATTATCATGATAGACCAGTGACAAAACATTTTTAAAATTATCTACTCAGAGGTTAGAATGCAAAGAGAAAGGTGTCCATACCGCCTTTAATTTCATTAGCATGACATGATACAAAGATGAAGCAAATGCATTGAATATCCTGACACAAATTCCCTCACTACTCACAGATTCATTAATGATTCTGTTAAGATGAAAAATCAGCTACATTAAATAGTTCCAAAGATAAAACTTTTCAAATAGCTGAAACATTCTTACAACAAGTACTTAGCTTCAGACAGTATTAGATTGCGAAGACAAGAGGCACAGAGGAAAACGGGAAATAATTTAATTGACAAGTTTGTGCAAATGCTTGGTAGAACAGGGATTAGGAAAGATAGCAAAAAGACAAACATTGCCAAGAGCTACAAAGGACAGAAAGTTGAGGAGAATCGTGATCGCCCACAATATAAAGGGACAACAGCAATTTGAAGAACAAGATTTACGGTGACAAAACACAAAATAAATGCAGTATAGAATAAATAAGGAAAAGAACAGGATTACATGGTGTTCTTGAAAAGCAAAAAATATAATTTTAATAGATATTTTCATCAGGATATTGGTGATCATGGCTCTCCACAAATCCCTGTGCTTTGTAGCTCTTAGTAAAATTTTCTCTTTTGGTATCTCTCCTAATCCTTGTTCTTCCAACCATCTAAACAAGGAAAATATATATATATATATATATATATATATATATATATATATGTGTGTGTGTGTGTGTGTGTGTGTGTGTGTGTGTGTGTGTGTGTGTGTGTGTACTGTATAAAATCCTGAAATGAACCATTATCATTCCAACATGTTTAGACTAACTACTGAACTCATTTTTTGCCTCCAAACTTGTTCAGACTCTTAAACTCATTCTTCTTGTTCCAAGACTCATTTCAAGACTCATTCAGGCACCTATACTCATTATTTTGTCCCAAGACTCATTCAAATTCTTAAACTCATTCTTTTCATTTCAAGACTCATTCAAGCACCTATATTCATATTTTTTCTTCCAAGCTTCATTCAGATTCTTAAACTGATTCTTTTCATTTCAAGGCTCATTCAGGCACCTATACTCATATTTTTTTCCAACCCTTATTCAGACTCTTAAACACATTCTTTTTGTTCCAAGACTCATTCAGGCACCTATAGTCATTCTTTTTGTCCCAAGACTCATTCAGATTCTTAAACTGATTCTTTTCATTTCAAGGCTCATTCAGGCACCTATACTCATATTTTTTTCCAACCCTTATTCAGACTCTTAAACACATTCTTTTTGTTCCAAGACTCATTCAGGCACCTATAGTCATTCTTTTTGTCCCAAGACTCATTCAGATTCTTAAACTGATTCTTTTCATTTCAAGGCTCATTCAGGCACCTATACTCATATTTTTCCAACCCTTATTTAGACTCTTAAACACATTCTTTTTGTTCCAAGACTCATTCAGGCACCTATAGTCATTCTTTTTGTCCCAAGACTCATTCAGATTCTTAAACTGATTCTTTTCATTTCAAGGCTCATTCAGGCACCTATACTCATATTTTTTCCAACCCTTATTCAGACTCTTAAACACATTCTTTTTTGTTCCAAGACTCATTCAGGCACCTATAGTCATTCTTTTTGTCCCAAGACTCATTCAGATTCTTAAACTGATTCTTTTCATTTCAAGGCTTATTCAGGCACCTATACTCATATTTTTTTCCAACCCTTATTCAGACTCTTAAACACATTCTTTTTGTTCCAAGACTCATTCAGACACCTATAGTCATTCTTTTTGTCCCAAGACTCATTCAGATTCTTAAACTGATTCTTTTCATTTCAAGGCTCATTCAGGCACTTATACTCATATTTTTTTCCAACCCATATTCAGACTCTTAAACACATTCTTTTTGTTCCAAGACTCATTCAGGCACCTATAGTCATTCTTTTTGTCCCAAGACTCATTCAGATTCTTAAACTGATTCTTTTCATTTCAAGGCTCATTCAGGCACCTATATTCATATTTTTTCTTCCAAGCCTCATTCAGACTCTTAAACTCATTCTTTCTGTTCCAAAACTTATCCTACCTCTTAAACTCGTTCTTTTTGTTCTGTCTCATTCAAACCCTTAAACTCATACCCTTTGTTCCAAAACTCATTCAAAATCATTCAAACACATTCTTTTCATTCCAAGTATCATTTAAACTGCTACGCTCATTCTTTTAGCTCACAGCTATGTTTACACAACTCACTCTCTCTGCTCAAAAACTTGTTTCAGTCGATAGGAGTCTTTTTTTCTGCTCTAATACTTCTTTAGCCGACTGGGCTCATTCTTTTTATTATTCTTATCCTTAACACAATATTTTGACTGTTCAGTTCTATAGACTTCTTTATGTATACAATCCTTAAAGAAAAGAAAGCAATCTCTTTTTTTCTCTTTTTTTTCAGTGCCTGTCTTAGTTGCATTTCATTTTTATGACCTTCTAAGCCATCATGGCTTTTGAAATATGTGTCTGTGACCAACTGGCTATCTGAAATTAAAAAAAAAAAACAAACATTATCAATCTTGATTCAATAAGGGATAAATAGATTGATCTTGGACTATGTTTCAACACTCCTCTCTTTAATTTTAAGCATTCTAATCAGAATATTCTCATTAGTACATAACAGTGAGAGTATACAAAAAATAAAACACTTAAGGCCTTCTCCAGAGGGGAGATAAATTCTGTAATTCAGAGATGGGAGATTACCATCTCAAGACTTGTCTCAAACACTAAAACCATTATTTATTTTGCATTTGTTGTTTTGTTGCATTTTAAAGCAGATACATTCTACAGCCAACTTCTGTTGTACAGTTTATTAAAAAATAAAAAAGAGAGAGTGCATCTTTTCTATGGAAAAAAAAGGATAAACAAAAAAGAAATGTTGGTTAAAATAAAATCTTTGCATTATTTTGTGTCCTACTATTAAATTGTAAAGTACACCACAAGTTTTGACAATGTTTTTTAAATAAAGAAACTTGTTGACAGTTTTAAAATGCAATCTCAAGAACTGAAAAAAAGTGACAAATATTTTTCAAATGAGACACTGAAGAATTTCCCTCTTGGCTTTTAAGATATTTTATTATTATTACACCCCCACCCCTAAAAAAGAGAGAATGTGAAAGAAATAGAGAGAAAGTAACACTGAGAGGGAAGAAATAAAAAATGTGATTGAGTGAGAGGGAAAAAAAACAGAAAAATGTTTAAAAAAAGAAAAGGAACTAGAAAGAATGGTGTTTGCAAAAAATGAAAAACAATCGACTAAGAGAATGGCGTACAAGAGAAATGAAAAGAAAGAAAGAAACTGAGAGAAAGATAGCATACTGGAAATATTAAAGGATAGATAGATAGATAGATAGATAGATAGATAGATAGATAGATAGATATCATGAATAAATTCAGATGGATATAAATAGATATGAACAGACTGAAAATGATAGATGGATAGGGAGAAAGACATCAAGGAAGTGTTTGACAGATAGGTAAGATGAAAATGAACATGTAGAAAAAATAAAGAAAGATGGTGGAAAGAAAATAAGAATGAAAAAAAGAATAAAAGAAATGAAGGAAGAAAGAAAAGAACATAGAAAGAAAGAAATAAGAAAGAAAGGAAGAAAGAAAGAAAGAAAGGAAGAAAGAAAGAAAGGAAGAAAGAAAGAAAGGAAGGAAGGACAGAAAGAAGAAAACTGAAGGAGATAGCAAAATGAAAATACTACAGGAAAATAGATATGATGAATGGACTCAGAGGTTTAAATAGACAATGAACAGCTTCAGCTAGAAATAAATTGAGAACAAATTGAGATAGATATAAACAGAGTGAAATAGATAGATAATGATGAACAGGTTCAAATATGAACAGACTGAAAAAGAAAGAAAGCTAGATAGAGAGAAAGACCAAGAAAGTGTTTGACAGATAAGATGTAAATGAACAAGTAGAAGGCAGGAAGAATGAAATGGTACCAATATTCTATTGGATTATCAAGTGCTTGCATCGATTTGTGTGCAGAATCAGCTGTCTTTGCATTGTAAACTAATTCTGAGAATACAGATAAAGCAGTAGCTTACTGTAGAACACATGCACAACCATGTCAGTCTGTATGCTTACCTTGCACATGAGCAAATTCATGAACATGCACCAACAGTCAGGTAGCACATATAGAGACGAAAGCCATAAAGTTAATAACTTCGCCATATTTAAATTTACACAGCCATTCATACCAGAACATATAATCACACTTCATGTTTGGTTTCACAGTCAACAAAGAACAGTTGAGAGGATTTATTTAGACAAACTACTTCAAAGCAAACTACTTTTAAAGAATCAGAGAGAGAGAGAGAGAGAGAAAGAGAGAGGGAGGGAGAGAGAGAGAAAGAAAGAGAGAGGGAGGGATAGAGAGAGGGAGAGAAAGAGAGAGAGAGAGAAAGAAAGAGAGAGGGAGAGAGAGAGGGAGAGAGAGAGGGAGAGAGAGAGAGGAGAGATGGTATTTTAGCTTTTGTCTTAGAAATGACTTGAGTACAGAGGAAAATCCTATTTGCCAGAATTTTTAACCTTCTCAAAGTTCAAGGTATATATTTTTCATCAATAAAATAAGTAAAGATGCAATTTCTGTCTATATTTCAGTTCAAAATTCCAATCACCTGAAAAAAGCCAAGGTGTACAATGGCCAAAACATGAATATGGCAACAAAAATGAGGATAACAGTCCGAACAATGTAAATAGCATAAATGTAATTACTATGAGAACCTATATATGTGTATGTATATATATATATATATATATATATATATATACAAGTATATAATTGGTGCATATGGAATGAATTCCAATAACCAACAATTACTATTCTTAAAAAAGTGCTCAATACAAAGTAGAGCAGATATAATTATTTTTTATAAAAAAAAAATTTATAGCATAAATATGTTATAAAATCACTACAAAAATAGCCATTTTGTTTCAACACCCTCTTGATAAGACACTGAGGGTGTTGAAACAAAATGGCTATTTTTGTAGTGATTTTATAACATATTTATGTTATAAATTTTTTGTTTTTATAAAAATAATTAGATAGATAGATAGATAGATAGATATAAAGAGTGGACACTGAGTTCAACATAGAGTAGTGACAGTCTGAGGATTGCATTCAAACATGAAACAGACTGTTGCCACTCGGTATTGCGCTCAGTGCCCACTCTTCTATGTACACATGCTCTATCTCTTATATTGAGTACTTTTATCTATACATATTGTATACCTCAAAACTATATATATATATATATGAATAAAGGAAAAAGGGAAACATCCTAGCCAACATGTTTTCTCCTTTATCAAGGTAAATATAAGGATTTTATTTGTCAACAAGCATTTATAAACAAAGGTAAAAATGTTGTTAGTTTTTAAATTTTTTTACATTTAAGGGATGCCCATAAATATTTATCAGGTTAACTAAAAATTCTACATAAATTATGGAAGACAATAAGTGATGTAATATGTCACTTAGCCTGTTGACTATCTGTATATATATATATATATATATATATATATATATATATATATAATGTTTGCATATGTATGTATGTATCCTTTTCAGTCTGTATATATATGTTTATCTATATATTTCTTCTTATATAATGCTTATATATCTATCTTATTTTGTATATATGTTTGTTTATCTATCTATCTATCTCACTATCTATATATATAAGTGTGTGTGTGTGTGTGTGTGTGTGTGTGTGTAAAATTTCAGATAGAACTAAAATTATATTTGTAAAAGGACAATATGAATGAAAACAAAAATTTATCTTAGCCAATGTGTTTTGTCCTCTGATGGACTTTATGCAGCCAAAGACAAGAATTTTAGTTTGCAACAAGTATTTAAAAAGAAAAATATTGTTAGATTTTTTAATTTTAGAATTCAAGAAACGCTCATAAATATTCAACAGGTTAACTGAAATGTAAATGATGGAGGATGATAAGTGACATAATTTAATGTCAAATAAATGAAAGTGAGTAAAGATGTTGTTGCTGATTTTTGTTGCCCTTTTTACAGATATATTTTAGTTATATATGAAATTTTACACCAACACCCCTATATATATATATATATATATGCGTGTATATATATATATATGTATATATATATATATATATATATATATATATATAAGATAGCACACAGTGATTGCTGTTGGCCATAAAAAAGTGCTCAAAGTGAAATAACAGAGCTAAAATTTATATTAATAATTAATATACATTTTGTTCCCCATCATTTTTGTACCTCTGAGTTTCATGCACCTGACATTCATCAGGCAGAGATTGAAAACTGACCATTGTAAATATAAATATTAATATTTAAAATCTACTCTTAAGATAGTATAGCAGTCCATTTGCTTATGAATATATATATATATATATATATATATATATATATATATATATATATGTAAATAATGAATTAAAAGTAGAAAACAGATAGATTTTTAAAAAATACACTTGTATGCACCCAATTACAAATATTGCTGGTGTGAATTATCTGTCAAGCTCCAGTTAAGATTCGAGAAGCTTGTACTATTGTCAACAAAGTTCAACTGGGTTTGGCATGCTGACCTCTGCAAGCTCCAGAGCAAATTTTAAATTTAAGATTTAGGTTTTGGTTTTGAAACATGGTAATTTCTGTGTCAGGATGAATAGATATTTTTTAAAAATAATTATAATACACACACACACACACGCATACACACATATATATAAGCCCTTATTGACTATATTATTAGTAAGAAGACTAAGGAATTTCATTCCCCTAAAATCCAGGGGCCTTCTAAATGTCCGGTGTATTTGAAGATTCCCTGGATTGGGGATAGGGGTCAGGGCTTAATTAAGCAGGTTGGTTTCCGGTTGTTTCCCATCAGTTGCTTTACGTAGCATTTTTCGAACTAGGTCTGTGTTTCCGTCTTTTTGCAAGGATGTATTGCCCTACATCAAATTGAGTAATTTAGTATATGAATTTAATTGCCAGTGTGCTGCTGGTTATGTGGGGCGTACAACCTTGCATTTGGAAACTAGAATCAATCAGCATGTACCTTCAAAATACGACTTGGTAAGATAGATAGAATATGCTATCTTCCCCTCATGAATATGGAATCGGCTATTGCTCAACATTTAGTTGAGAATATAGCCTGCGTAAGCTGTTTAAAAAGAGTGGTTTAAAATTATTCATACAGCCGATTCCAACAATCATTTGAAGATTTTGGAATCGGTCTGCATAGGATTAAGGAAACCTTCTCTCTGCCGGCAGAAAGAATTTGTAAAGTCTCTTAATCTGTTGGGGGATATTTTATTTTAACTGTCCCTCGCTAATTTATTTACACGATTGTTTCCCCTCCCCTTGTCACAAATATATACACTTGTTTGTTATTTTAGTGTGTTTCCCCCCTCTTTTTGCTCTTCATTGTCGTTAACATTCTTTTTGTTGATCCAACGATTGTCTCCTGATGAGATGTTGGCTGAAAGGGCCCTAGAGACTTTTAAAATTAAAATCAATACATTCCTTGTTTTTAAAACTATATATAAATTTTGTACCTCTAAACATTTGTTTATATATATATATATATATATATATATATATATATATATACATACAGTAGGACTCCCCAAATCTGAATATAACATGATCTAGACTTCCTCGAATTTGGACTCATCTTCAAATCCAAACTTTTGTATTGATATAAATATGATGCATTTTCCCTCAATACCAAACATCTCGATTGTTCAATTTAGACAAGTTGTACTGTATATCCTTATTTTTGACTTCCTTTACAGATAGTAGTTGTTTTTGAATGATGAATTTATAACTTTCATAAATTTTTAAACATTTCATAAAGTATCTTAGTTTTTCAGAAATTACAGTATTTGTTTAGTACAAATTTTTTCATTACTATTGGCTGTCAATTATTTTTTGTACATTTATGTATTCAATCTACACTTTAAATAAAAACAAATCAATGTTGCAAACTACTTTTTGTATCCTAAACTCTAAAACTTAATAAAAATTTTCTTCTTCAAATCTGAACAGTATCCTCAATACTGAACATCTCAGATGTTCAGTTTTAGAGGAGTTGTATATATATATATATATATATATATATATATATATATATATATATATATATATATACACACACACACACACACACATATATATATATATATATATATATATATATGAACACTTTAATTAGAAAAAATGATTATCATAAAAGCATTATCTTCTAAAAATACCCAGACTAATTTTTTTTTGTGAAATCAAATTTTTTTAAATATATATATGTATGTGTGTGTGTGTATGTATGTGTGTGTGTGTGTGTGTGTGTGTGTGTGTGTGTGTGTGTATATATTTATGTATATATGGGGAGAGAGGAAGAGGAAAGTTAAAGTAAAAGAAAACAGAAACATTGGTTTTGCATATATATTTTTATATTTGTATGTAGAAGTCCCTTACTCTTATATGCTTGCATAATTATGCATACACACAGAAACACATATGTACGTATAAGATGATACATATATAAGATGATACATACATTTTAAAACAAGTCTGTAGATAAAAAAAAATGTTCTTTGGGTTTTTGTGTTTGTTTTGCCTGAAAGCCAATTTATAAATTGAATTGCAGGCAATCTAACCTTGGCCAATATCTTTGTTTCTATACATTTCAGAATGCCGACCATCCAGTAACTGAATTGTTACTGGCAATTTGTCTTTCATAAATTTAGTATCAGGAACCAGCCACCATTCTTCTTCTAGCCTGAATGCTTGCAGCAGATTTGATTCTGATTCCAAGGAACAGGAAGTGGAGGAGGTCAGCTTGTACCAGAGCTGGAAATTTTCATGAGAGGATACCATCTCAGCAGTTTCCTTAAGTTAGCAATCTCATTCCTCGACTTTTTATTCTTGGTACAGATTTCAAAAGAGTAATTGTCTGAGAATTCAGAATATCGACTTAAAAATGATCTTTTTCTTTTCTCTTATTTTTAAAATTACCATTTCTCTCAAAAGAAATAACCAATACACTTGAGGCTTATGGCTACATCTCATTGAAAAACCAGTTCATTTACAATCACTGAAGTTAAGCAATGTTAAGCTTAGTCAGTATGTAGATGGGTGACCACTTGGGAATACCAGGTGCTGCAGACTTGGATATACAGGTAGTGTAATGGATAATCACTTGGAATTATTAATCAGAGAGCAGAGTTTCAATTGGGTTCATTATATTCACTTAAATGCAAATCTCCTTGGGGAATGTATGAATCCACCTCTTCTACCCCCAGCTATGGGTTAATTTGTAAGACTTGTATCACTAAATCATTATTATCTGAAAAAAAACAAAAAAAAAACAAATTTCTTACAATCTAAAAAATATTTCTGGGTTTAAATAACCTGAAAAAGGTTGATAATCCGTCAAAAATGAGTCAATCACTCAATCAACCAATACTCTCAAAAAGGTTTTAGTTGATAATTTCTGTTTTCAAAAAAGTCACTACAAACTGCTATTTTTAAAATTACTTTTAGTCTTCTTTTAGTTTAGTGCCATAAGCCAGGAGATAGTAAAAAGACAAACATTGCAAGGAGCTTTAAAGCATAGGAAGTCATGGAGAGCCATGATCATCCACATGCTGAAGGGGCATGACACTCACATGGGGAGGATTTTTCTCATTATTGTCATTATTATGTAGAGAAATTACAGGATATTTGTAATTTTTTCTATGTGTCATATAGGTGATCATGGCTCTCCACAACTTCCTGTCCTTCTTATCACTTAATAAAGTTTGCCTTTTTGCTATATCTCCTAATAACTTTTCTGTCAACAATTTGAATAATCTTATTAGGTAGGATATGTACCGTTTCCTCTATTTGTTATCCCTTCAATGTCTTGTAAGTATCAAATTTGCCAAGCCTTCTTTCCTTATTATGTTTCAAGAGTACTTTTCATATCCATTTTTCTTAAAACTTACTTGTTACTCACATGTTCAGTCCACGGGATTCTCCGCATCCTTCTCAAGAACAACATCTTTGTTGCCTCAAATCGCTTCTTCATTGTGAGAAGACTATCCAGCATTCACTGCCATATTGAGGGACAGATATTACATAACTGTTCAACACTCTTTTCTTTGTTTTTAATTAAATTTTCCTGTTTCTTAATACTTTGCTTGTCTTTTGGAAAGCATCTTTTGTTATCCCAATGTCCCCCTTTGTATTTCAGTTTTGCTCTTTCCATCCTCTGTTAAAATACTTGCTTGATACTTAAATTGTTGTACTTGATTTTGGTATTCCCAATTTGTAATTTACATGTTGGGCTCTTCCTTTTGCTAACAACCATGCATTCTGTCAGATTAGCGATAAGTTTGTAATGTTGTGTCTGTGAGAAAGATGTTGCAGAGTAATGTTGGAGAATATATCTTGCCTCACAAAATTTCATAAATGATTTTGAATTCTATCAAGACTGGAAGATGAGGATTGAGTAGCTCCAGCCCAGATATGGTAGCAATAATCCATTTTTATTCTAATCTGACTCTTGTAAAGGTAAAGAATAGCAGAAGGCGTCAGGTACATTCTGGAGTAACCAATTTCAATTACTGTATATACTCATGGATAGGTCGCCCCACTGGATAAGTCGCATCCCTACTTTATGGCTTAATAATTGGTGATTTACTGTTGATTTGCAGATAGGTCACACTATAATCTGGGGAGTTACACGGCCCTTTTTAAACATAAGAATTATCAGATATCTACCTTTATTCGTACCTTTATTTCAAAACTTACAATTATTAATACACTTTTGCAAATCGATTTCCATGTTCTTCTGCATAATTTAGTACTTTTAATTTAAAACCTGCTTCATAACTCTTTCTTTAACTCATGATTAGATTTTGCAACAATTAAAAATTATAAACTATAAATTTGGCTACCAACTATGTCGCTGTGCAATGCAAAAGAGTACAAACGTTTTGGGTACTAGATTACTTTATTTGTAAATAACACTTAAGAACACCTTTTAATGTTATATGATACAACCATTAAAGAAAATTATCTCATAAAGAATATATTTCATTTCTTTAAGTCATATTTTGCAACATATTTTTGGCAAAATATATTTTGTAGAATGAAATGTGGGACTATTTTTTCCTTTGTCAATAAACATCTACAGTACATGTGGTTCCTTAAGTTATGTATGCATGTTCAGGGTTTAGAGTGCAAGAGTCCCGACTGAACAATGACTGATGGATCAATGAATATTTTATAATTTTATTTATTTATTGTGATGGATATGTGAATCTAGCAGCATGAGGTAAGTTTAAAGCAGTGAGTCAGTATATATGATAGATAAATTGTTTCTATACAGAGAAAAACCACAGCTTTAATGTTTATGGGTATCATTTTCGATTTCTCAGAAATCATGATGACAAGGTGGGTGTTGTTTTACATTTATGTCGGGCGAATAGGTCTCAATCCTAATATTTTGGGAAATTTTTTGGTAAAAAATGTGCAACCTATCCACGAGTATATACGGTAATACTAATATTAATACTAACATTTACAAAATACAAAACCCTAGAGCCAGTCAAAGTAGAGAGTTACTGTTGAAATGGTTATGATGAATGAGGTGTGATATGAATGAAAGATGAAGTGGGAGGAATTTAAGATGATGAGGATAAAGAGGAATGATTGAACCTTGACTTGAAGAGGTTAAATTGTAGTGGTCAGGGTAGCATCCATGCAAGAATCTGTTTCCCAAAGGGTAACCCCCACCCATGTGACTAAAGCAGGGTTAATACTTTCTATCATTTCAAACTCTTAGCAATGTTTGTTTTTACTGCTCCTTGTTCTACCATCCATTTTCTCTATCTTTAGTGGTTCTCAAGCTTTCTATAGGGTGTAATTTAGTATTAAAAAAGTAACTTATCTATATATGTTCAAAATCATTTTTTTTTACCTTTGCATATGAGTCACATTTATACCTACTGAGTGTTTCCCTTTGTCCATCTTGCCTTCATATGTGAGTGTCAAATTCTCTAAACCCTCTTCTCTCATTATGTGTCCCAGAAATATCAACATACTCTTTCTGGTTCTTCATACAAGAGTCCTTTTTGTTTTCATTTTCCTTAAAATGTCCTTGTTGGTCATATATTCACTCCAAAGCATTCTCAGCATCCTTCTATAGAAGCACATCTCTGTTGCCATAAGACTCCTCTTCATCCGTCCAAACATTTACTGCCATATTGGAGGACTGATATTACAGTACTCGTTTCTTTGTTTCTACCATGTTGGAGGACTGATATTTCAGAATTCCTTCCTTTGTTTCTAACAAGTATTTTCACTATTCCAATGCACCTTTAAATATTGGTAACAAAATAAACTGAATTCCTGTTCATAACGGTCTAAATTACAATTTATTATAATACATGGCATCAAGAAAACAGTAGACAAAGTTCAAGAAATAGTAAAATTGATTTATGAGAAAGACAAAACAATGATACATATTACTGAATGTTTTCTTCTTTTATATACTAGGTTTTTTTCAGAATGTGGGTAATCATGGCTCTCTACAACTTCCTTTCATATTTTGCTTAGTACCTCTTTCCCTTTTGCTACTTTTATTTGTCCATGTTCTGCCATTCATTCAGTTAAACTTGTCAAATACCATAATTTCTTGAAAATAATATGCATTTTTTTTTTACTGTAAATTACAGGTAATAGGTGTGCGTATTATAAGTAGGTTTAAACAAAAATATTCTTTCGTTACTGATTTATAATAATAAATACATACTTATAAAGAAAGATATTATCCCAATTTTCATTTTAAATCCAACAATAATAATTGTAATATTTTTTGTCAATAAATTTATGTTTATCAGTAATTGCAATTTTTATTTAGCAAAAAAATTTTAAAAATCTATATAAAACGGCCAATTTTGAAGAAAAGAGGATATCAAGTTAACAATTTCTTTAAATTTTAATAATAATAATAATCATCATCATCATCATCACTACTACTACTACTACTACTACTACTACTATTACTTTCTATTATAGAATCAATACCGAAATTGTCATTAAACAAATTATCATTCACAATATTATCTTTGTCCTGTTCAAAATTATCTTTGGCCTTTTCCTTCCCTTACCAAAGGATGTCGTCTTCAGAGCCATCCATGGCTGTCGTGAGACAGAACTTCTTAAAACCTCTCTTTATAACATTCTCACTGACAGAATCCCATTTTGGCAGTAAAATAAAATGTTATATTTATCAGGAAAACATTATTCTAACTGCTTAGTTTCAATTTTATTCCTAATGTCAAGGTTAAAAAATGTCTTCATAATTATTTTTTTTTTTCAAAATTTATACATGCATATTATACATAGGAATAGATTTTTGGATCATTTGTTGGGGTGCATATTATTTATGTGTGCATATTATTTTTGAGAAAATTACAGTAGGTTATTTGCCATTTCCCTATTGAGTGAGTGTTTTGTTCTCCAAACCCTCTTTCTTCATTATGTGTTCCAGAAATTCCAGCTGTCTCTTCCATATTGTAAGTATCAGTTTCTAAATAAAATAAGTTGCTTAAACCATCCTCATAACTCACATTTTCTGTCCATGATATTCTTACCATTTTTTCGTAGAACCACATCACCGTCGATACCAGTTTGTTTTTCATCCCTGAAATTGTCTAACATTCACAACCTTATAGGATATACATCTCACTTGCAGAACTCTCTTCCATCTTTTTGCTTTCTTTGATCTTCAAAGATTTAAATGCAATGTCAGTTGTTATCTTTTGTCTTCTTATTTCCTGTTCTATAATTGTTCTTTCTCCTTAATAATGTTGTTTTTTTTTCGCTCA